GGCACTTCAAGCATGAACCTACTGTTACAAATTGCCATCTTCAGTGCAGTTGCTTAGTTCACAGGTGTCAGTGTATATAGATAGTCAGGGTGAGAATCTTTCCAATTAACTGCTAGATTCAAAAATCTTCTGGAGATTCTCAGGATCATTGCCTTGGAAAAGGAAGATTTTAACTCAGAGTGAAGACTAAATTTGTTAATATTAGAACTATTGAGTGAGGAATGTGTTTTCTTGAGAGATGGTCTGCTCACAGCTGGGGGAATGCTTGCTCCAGCCCCAGATAAGGGCCAAGAGATGAAATATCATCTACATTCAACAAGAAGAAATTTAAGATGACAAATGCTAAGTTCTTCATTTAGTTCCAGAAAAAAATGACAATAGAGAAAATAATGTTAAGGGACTATGTAAGTTGCTGGGGTGTCACTTAACAGGAACATCTGTCAGAAAGCTTCAAGGAATTCAGTGACACTGACTCAGACTGCAGTGTGGTAGGCAGGCCACAGTATCCAATGTGCCAGGGGTTGTGATGGTCACTTGGGAAAGCAAAGCTCTGTGTGCGTCCATGAAGGTGTTTCCAGAAATGGCTGGCACAGCTTCAGCAAGCAGAAGAGGGACTACCTGCATGAATGTAGGCGCACCATTCCAAGCCTATGGACCTGGACAGTATGGAAAAGTGGAGGAAGCGGGGAGCACGCACAGAACACAAGCTCGCTTCTTCTTGAGCCAGTACATTTTTTGTGCTGCCAGTGCCTGAGAATATCAAACTCCTGATTCTTTCATGTTGAATGTGAACTCCCACCAGTGATTCTCTGGGGCGGTCCAGACCTTCAGCCCGCTACTGGAGCTGCATCCTGCTTCCCTCAAGTTCTGAGGCTGCAGGCTTCTTGGATTGAATAGCCACTGGTTTCCCTGATACTTCTGCTGACAATCAGCCTCTGATCATGTGAGTCAACCTAGGAAGCCCTCTCTTATAACATATGCACATTCTGTTGTTTCTGTTCCTGAGGAGAACTCAAACCAACAGCAAGGTGATGGCTTCCTAGTCTTAGAAGTTGATTTGGAAATTGAACCTCCTAAACTGTTTGATTCTTAATTTTAACTTTCTTCTTTCATTTTCCTATTTTCTTTGTACTTTCTGAGGAATTTCCTTACTTCATCATTTTACCTATCATTTTCTTTGTATCATATTTTTTAATTTTTTAAGAAATGTGCCAGATAGCTAAGCAGATTAAAGCACCTGCTTAGGCAGACACAGGAGTCAGGGTTCGATCCCTGGTCGTGCCCATCCCACCCCTTGGGCGCATTGAGATGGGCAATTGAGGCTGGGCATGGTGGTGTGCACCTATAATCCCAGCACTTGGGAGGCTGAAAAACAGGAAGGTTCACTACAAGTCTGATCTGTGTAGAGAGACCCTATAGACCCTGTACTAAATACACAATATTTTTTAAAAAGTGCTTGTGCACATCCTTTTTTTTTATAACATCCTATTCTTTTTTCATGTATAGAATATCTTTATTTCTCTCTCTGAGAGAATTGTACACCACTTGCCAAATTTGATCTTCATTAAATCATCTTAGTTTCTTCAGAAGTGCTTTTCTATGTTTAGATTTGTGTCAT